ACGTCAACTTCAACCCTTCTATTAGGGGTCATCACCATTCTCCCATCCGTGGCATATGGACTTCTTCCGCGCCACTAAGGCTTATCACGCAGAGGTGGAAAATCAGGATACATGTCCTTTAAGATCGGGTTCGCTTTCCGCTGCCACCAATGTAGCATCCCCAGACTTCTATGAAGACGAAAGAAAACACAACACTGGGGGAAGAATATATATTTAGTACAGAGAAGGTATCTGGGCTATTGGCATGGCCCGAAGACAAGCCCACCCAGCGAGGTACAAGAAGGCTAATTCAAAGTACAAAAGTGGCACCTTACCAATAAACCGCCATTGCATTACACTTATCCTAAGGTGAAAAGTATTACTTCTGGTTTGTGATCGACTTTAACTCTATAGGTGTAATTTGATAAAAAATAGTTGTTTGAGTAGAAGTTAAAAAGAATATCACTTTTCGAATAAATTTTGGTTTGTAATTAAAAAAGTAAGGGATTTTGGGGGTTATTTCAGTGACGGAACTAGGGTGCGATTTTTGTGTCACCATTGATGGCATTCGAGTCAACTGCTATCGTTAAATGAACGTTGTATAGCATCCAATCAATTTTTCGGCCGTAAAGTTGGCGCGACACTGCGTTTTAAGGGCACTTTTCAAAGAGGTGAAGTAAAAGCATGCATTAGGTCTCGAACCAACCATTCTTACGTCACTGTAAATTGTGGTGCAGCACTTTATCAAGAAAGTTGGTAATATCTGCTCTACAGATGAGATACGAGTCGGTGCATACAAAAAGTTGTGGAAAGCGAGTAATCTTTTGACTGGTAAGGAGGATGCAGCGAACAACTACGCGCGAGCCTACATCAATGTCGGCAAAAAGATGCTTGGTCCACTAATGGAGCAGGTCCGTATCACGGCGGAGCGTTGCGACGGTCTTGCAGGATTCAATGTAGTTCACTCATTAGCCGGTGGAACCGGCTCTGGCCTTACTGCTCTTCTCCTGGAATGTCTCTTCGAGGAGTACGTCAAGAAAGCACGGTTTTCCACCACTATTTACCCATCCAAAATTTGCTCCCAGTCTACTGTAGATCCCTACAATACCCTTCTGTCCATGAAAGCCACCATGGATACTCTGGACTGTTCTCTCTTGATGGATAACAAAGCCATCACCGATCGTTGTGTTGCGCAGATGTTAATTGAAAAGCCGACCTACACCACGCTAAACCGCTTTGTTGCCATGCTTGTCAGCTCCATTTACCTCTCACACAGATTCGCCTTTATGGGCAACCAACACGCCGATGTTTTAGAGCTTCTCACCAACATCATCCCCTACCCCCGCATCCGGTTCCCTATTGTCGGCACCACTCCTCTCTACGCCAAGGCGAATCAGCACCACGAGGTAATCAGTGTCCCAACCATCACTCGCAGGGTCTTCAGTCAAGAGGCAATTACTTTGGATTGCAATATCGAAAAACGGTATTTCATCTCAGTCGCTCTGCTGTATCGTGGAGTAGCATCCACTGGTGAGGTGGTTGCAGCGCTGAGAGATGTGCGATACAACCCAGAGTTTGCAATCGCAGAGGGTTTTTTGGATTGGTGCCCCAACAAGTTCAAGGTGGGAGTCACGCCGTTTCCCCCAGTTACAGTGCCCACCTGTGCTATGGCGGCTGCGCCTACTTCAGTGTGTATGATCGCGGGAAATATAGCAGTGAGTGATGCGTTCAAGTCGACGGTGGATAATTTTGACATGCTCTTTAAGAAATGCGCCTTCATCCATTGGTTTGTGTGTGAGGGGCTGGAGGAGGCTGAGTTGAAGGAGGCTAGGGATGAGCTTTGCGGCCTCATTAACGAGTATGTCAATTTGGTGGATCGTGATGCCTCTGCTGAAGCCTGTCCCGAACAGACGACCGAATCGGAAGACGGCGGTTGTCCGATGGTGTTTACAAACACTACGACTCCGACCATGAGAGGAGCAACTGTAGCACCACAAAGACCACCCGAACATCTGCACATTAATATGAGAATGCGAGAGAGAATACCTGGTCCGAGTACCCCCTGTCAACCGATTTTGAATGGGCCTTGTGCAGGTCGCGGATTTCCAAATCCATACAGTCCGCGTCCCATTTTGAGCATTAATATGTCCAATACACGTCCACGGAACAGAATTCGGTCGGAAAGGCCTCTTGTAGCGTACAGAGGAAGAAGCGTTGCACCACCCTCCCCGGGGATGTTTGAGGAAATTGAGCAAGGATGCCCATACGGTTTCTTCAACATATTCAACCAACAGCAGGCGGAAACGGAGGAATTCCCTCCATGGACTATGTGGGATGCGCGCCCTAACGGCATACCACCCTTCCCTACCTTTCAGTCACAATTCTGGAGGTGTTAGAGCAAGAGGAGCCTCGCTTTTTAGTAACTCCAGTTCGTACCCCCTAAAGTTTGTGCTAATTTCCACTAAGACGTTTTGTAGAAATTATATTGTTCCTCTGTTTATTCTTTATTTTTAGCAATGCTTGCCATCAAGGTTTCAAAGGGCGATTAACCGCGGCAGCCCAAATGATTTATTAGTTACATTTTACACCGACACCAATAGTATTGTGGCGATTCAAAACTGTTTGAGACAATTTTGTGGAATCAGTTATCATAAACTGGTACCCAACGCGTACCACATTCGTGGAGCGCCACATCTACGTGATGCTGGTAGGAGACGTGTTAATTTAGAGAAAAGGTCTGCATTTTAAATCACTTTGCCCTATACACAGCATTTTTTACCTCATTCACAATGCCGGCAAAAATGCACTAAAACGTGTGCGGATTGTACAAAAATAGAAGAGGCACGGAGCTCCAGTTTGTTCTAATCGAGTTCCATCGAGACGTCTTCAGCGGGATCGGCAGCGCCGGAGGGAGCGCATTTCTGCGGTAGAGGAGCACTGACCTGAAAGATGTCCAAGTCGTCCTTTATGCTAGGGATGCCCGGGGGAGGTGTCGTTGACAGGGAGTAATCCAACAACTGGAAGGGTTCTTTCGGAGGACTTTCATTGATATCTGCGAAGAGCGGAAAGAAATTAGTCACAGTACTTTTATCGCTTTATGAGTACGGGTTTAATTTCTCCCATTGCGTAATGAGTTAAGTGAGAGAGGTAGTTCAATCACGGAACGCTAAAATACCGCAATATTACAACCTTAGATGCTTTGTTTTGGAAGATATACACTGTTAGGAGATGGGGTGTTTTTCGCCATGAGGATACCGTGATAAAACCACGGGTGCGCCAATAAGATGCAGCTTTCGTAATGGGAGTTAGGGAGCTGTAGGAGGCTTTTAATATCTTCTATTGGAATACACAAATCTATCACCCTCCTCCAATGAGACAAGTTTGCCAATTCTACTTTTTTATACGTTTTGTTACTGGAAGCAAAGGAGACTCCCCCAGTCATAGATAAACCCGTTTCTAGCTCACTTTATTTTCAGAATGTCTATTCTACTTTACAAGCAATTATCTAATGCTAGGGAAACACAAAATGGTATGAGGTCTCTCCGTGGTCAAGTTTTGCGATGGCATAAAGCCTTACATTGTCTCATAAGAATATGACTTTCACCTGATTGATGAACTAGTCCCGACTATTTCTGAAGATTTTTTTTGACCACCGTCGAGTTGTATCAATTTGCGTCGATAAATCGCATGTAATTGTTTGGCCTTTAGGAAGTGAAAAATCTCCTCTACGGTCCACTACACATAACTAAACACACAGAGAAAGCAAGCAGCCTTTTGGGAATGCGGTGCACAATAGTGGATTGCTGGGTAATGAACAACGACACGGTTGCCTGTATTTAACCAAAAAACTCATTATTAATCGGTAGCTAATCCGAAATCCAAAAGTACAATTTTTATGGCGTATGCTAACGGAGTGAACGACAAAGTGATAACCTTTAAAGTTTACTACCGACCATTGGGGCCAGTGAGATTCAGAATCAATTTGTCCGACAGAGTAGTCGTCATTATTGACGATTGGCATTTCCAATTGCTGCACACAAGAAAAGAACGCCTCTGTTTGTCTTCTACCAGAGCCTGCCCATTATCTTCCCATTCCAACACTAGCACACAGTCAAATAGAGGTATTTTGAATTCTTCCCAAAACCCACCTCGTCCAACCTCGAACTCATCATTATGGGTGGTGATAACCACATCATTAGCAGTAGCATTGACAGTGTTAGTCGGAGCCAACGAGAGTGGCACCTCTAGCTGTCGGGCGTACTGGCGCACGCAAATGTCTAGGAGGTCTACGGCGGTGGTGGAGTCAGTGCGGCAGGTGTGCAGGGGCAGTGCGGTCTGCAAGGCACGAATGGCCTCTCCGTAGCGACCCATCTGGGCGTAGATCAAGCCCATGGTCTCCAGCGTAGTTGGTGAGTTCTCCACCAGCTTCAGCGCTGCGGTATGCATCTTCAACGCTTCCTCAAAGTGACTACAAACAAGCGAGTGAGAAGGTCATTAACAAATTCTCCATCGGAGTTTACAAATAAAATCGACCGTCACAGCCCACGTTTTGCAGTTCTGACATGACAACAAGCTCTTCAGATTTTTTACTAATTCCATTGCCGGCCAGTAAATAAAAGGAGTGAAATTGCCCTTACAATAAGGACATCTTGCATCCATATTATTATTTTAGACTCTGCTACTCTGTTTATTAAACTATTTGGTGAGACTAGTTGCTATAAACTGATAAAGAAAATATGTAACATATGTAACGCTGGTAACAAACGTGTTAGTCAAAAGAAAACCGACAATGATGAGGTGTAAAAGTAGTGGAACGCACCCAAGTTCGCGATAAGCGTGACCCAAATTGTTGAGTAGGGGTTCCCAATAGGGCGCAATAACTTGACCACTGAGTTGGGAGATGCTGTGATAGGCCTGCTTCAACAGCTTCAACGCTTTGTTGTACCTTAAATCATACAGAAGAAGGTTAGTTTGAATCACCCGCTAAAGGTCTTATTGAAAAGATTTACACTCTAGAACCTTTATTTTGCAAATTAAAAGACCCTAACATCAAAGGATGGTAAAAAGTCGACCAAACATGGTACGACTCCACCTCAAGGTATTTTGTGATCTGATCAATCATAAAAAAGTTTTAGCACATTTCAAAGTAGTTTCTTGCCTATAAATGCCTCAAATAACATGAGGATGAGCAAAGGTCTTTGATGCTGAAGCTAAAGGTAATAATTCCAAAGAGCACCCAGACAATCCCAAGAGTCGTGAACTAAGAGCCCACAAGAACTGCAAGGACTCAGGTGTGCTAGATGACGACCAAAAAAATAACTTTCCAGTTTCCATTTAATAAAAGGTAATAAAAACCCTTTACACCGGAGCTGTAGCTTAGTCGATATTGTGGATCAGATTCCAGTTTACAATTTAATGTCTTGGATAAAAGATCACCGCATAGGTCTCGCTTTGCTTGAAATCAAAAGAGGAGAAAATTAATGTATAGATGACAGTTTCACTACGTCACAAGTTTCGCATCGGTTTCCCCAATAGAAGGTTTACCCCACAAGCTCGCACTTTATTAAGAACTTGCCACAAAGATCAAACTTGATGCAGGTATACTACAACTTTCGTTCTCTACCATATCTATGCAATTAAGCAGGTGAAATAAAGTCCCGAGATTAATAGTACTTCATATTCACCACAGCATTTACTTTGCATGGAACCGAATCTGAAAAACAGCGAATAAAGCCAAGATAACTGAGAAAAACCGATTTCTTTGACGACACTTAGCGGTAAAACGTAGACCTCACAATTTGCAGGCGAATGCAAAAGTAAGTCAATACATAAGAGCGGTTGGTAGTTTAGTATTAACAGAGCTTAAAAGTTCTACCGACAACTCCTACTGACAAAATCAAGGTAACAATTTGACAATCATTTTCAACATTCTAGGCGCACTGAATCAAAATTGTATGAGCGAATAAGCGAAAAAAAACCCAATTTGGATAGAATCCCATCTTAATTGCATTTACAGCCATTAGGGAAAAACTACAATTCAGCGTTAGGTCGAATAATGTTAAAGGCTAAACTATACCTCACGATTAACCCCCTCGAAGATTGGAGAAACAACAAATCTGGGAAACGATGAGCATGCAGGTGATTTGATTACTTCTGCTAGAAGACATGGGTCGAACATGGTAAAATCCTATTTTATGGTTAAACGTTGTGAGGTTAAAAAGCAATAATGGTTTCAAAGCTAGTGGGATTGATACGCCGTCATTAGGAAGGATCCGCATTTTGCAAAGAATGAAGGATAACGCAAAACAAAAGGACACGATCAAATTCTACCTTCGCTAAAATGAACGAGAAGAAGCTTTTATCCTCAGTGCTACGCTAATCGCTACTAAAAAAAGCCACAGCTGCCAATAAAGTCGAAATATAGTTTGCGACTGACCGTTTGAGGCTAAGAGCTAGAGTCCCCAATTCGTGGAGAACAGCAGGATCAGAGGGACTGCGTTGGAGAGCATGTTGCATGAAGCGCTCTGCTAGAGCCTGATTTCCGCTCGAACTATATTCCACTCCAATGTACAGCATTGGCATATGGGAACTAGGGGAGACGAATGTTTCAGGACTGCAGATAGTACGTGCGAATAAGGGGGTAAATAAGTAGGAAGGCTCACTGTCGAACGATTTGAGCGGCGGTGCAGTAGGCGGCAATAGCCTGATCGTGCTCACTGTCGGCAGCGTAAGCGTGTCCCAATGCCAACCATGCGGGTCCAAATCGACGGTCTTCTTGAGTAGCTTTCCTATCCACGAAACAGAACCCAAATAACACCCTACGTCTAACATCACAGCCTTAGAAATAACAAACTGTCCAATTTACCGCCTAAGAAAACCTAGTTGTGAAAAATAATTCAGAAATACCGGCAGACCTAATCGTTTCTGAGTAGTCCTTTTCAAGGCTAGGACGTAAAATGGGTGTAAGAGATAACCGCAAGTCTCACCGAAGATGGCGCTTGGCCAAATCATTTTTGTGAGTACAGAGATAATAGGAGCCCGTCGCGAACCAAGAAACCTTCTTTAATGATTAGCTCTAATCAGGCACACTTACAGCACACTTTGGGAAGATTCTAACCAAGTTGTTTGCAAGCATGAATAGATCTAAAAACAGTATGAAGAAAAGTAGTCTACTTTACCGTTCGATTTATCGAGCATCTTCAAAACGGATATGTGAACAGGTAAGCATTCTGGATTCAAAGGATCATTTGCCAGGATGCTAAGTCAATAAGTGAAAACGAGCATTAGTGCTGGACATACCGTGAGGTTATTTCGAAACATTTCCTGTAGTGATTGATGGACAGAAAATACTCAGCTTGCGTGAGTAGAACATCCACGCTATTTCTCAGCGGTATCATTTCCACAAAACTACCAGCCGGATTGCCTTGAGGAACTTTGCACGAATATATGTTTTTGGTGGCAGATGATAGGGCCTGCGAAAACTCAGGAAATTCTAGCTTTGAAATCCGATTCTCATCTAAAAAGTTAATAAAAGAAGATAATAAACCATCGTCGGAGAGGGCCTCCAGCTTCAGTAACTTTTCCAGAGCCTCAAAACAGAAAGGATCCAATCGGAACGCCTCCTTGTAACAGTTTACTGCCAAGGCAAGATTGTTAAGTGCTTCGTGAACGTGTCCCCGTAGGAGAGCAACGCTGCTATTTAGCTGAGATTCATTGGATTCAAATGAAAGTTTTAAATACCATAACATGACTAACGCCATCCGGAAGATACACAGAATCTGAACCGCTTAACGCCACATCGTGTTGGACGTCGGGATTTGAGAAATTAATGAAGGAACAAGATGTTGACTTGAGAAGATTCTGTTGAAAGCTTTCCAAATTCTCCAAAACATTAAGTGCCTCAACGAATTCGTTGCATTTGAAGTAGCATTGGGCAACAAGAAAACGCGCATAATAACTGTCCTAATGGATACTTACTAGAGCAAACGTTACAACTAACCCGTAGTTTATCATTTCTAGTTAAGAGGTCGATTGTTCTACGATATTGACCTGAATTAATCAAGACATCGGCAAGCAGAAGAGTGTCTTTGATGGTGTCTACGGGAAGTAGTTGGGATAATTTAGCATACCTTTAGATAGGTTTATTAATTTGTCAGCCCAAAAAATAGCCGATCGGTGCTGATGCTACAAAGGTAATAATTAGTTCTCTACTGGCCTCAACAAACCATTTTTACACATCTCTGTATTAGTGCACGCAAGCACTTAGCATCATCACAACTCATTGCAAAGTACTTGAATTCGTCCCCTTCTATTTTCAACCAATAAAACGTGAGCTTGTTTACTTTTAATAAAAATAAACTAAAAAGTTTAAACTTAAAAGAAGGGAGAAATATAGTCCAATTACAACTCTGTTGCGAAAAAATAGTCTAGATACCCACCAGTGGCAATAATTTACAACCGATATCTCAAATCAAGTTCAATGTTCAAACCTGGCCCAATAAGCATGGTATACCCCACATGAGGCGGCCGATAATGACATCAGAATATAATTCAAAAATATAGATTGTTTCATCTGGTTATTAAAAGAGACTTACTTATGAATGCATGTTGCTTAACTTCCTCGCAATAATTCACCTACCTTTAATTGAATCGGTAAGCATAGCCGTACAAATGCACGATCATTGACCCTTATGCTATTCACAAATGAACACCAGATTCAAATTGAAATAAGTACGTTATGTACATATTTTGCGGTTTTGGTTGTTACTTCTTTTTTAGCATTACTATTTGGGAATACACCCCAAATATTTAACCCTCAGGAATCAATGTGAAAATATCTTTGATGCAAGACCAGATTTGCAATTTTGATTCCCAGAACTAAGCGCACACATGCGGCATGCTCATTTTACCTAACAGCATGCCTTTATGTACTCCACTTGTCTGCGTTTCTAAAAATATTGTAGGTAATATCTACAATGTCTGTGTTGTTGAATTCATCATCGCCTTCCTATGTATCTCTAGGCAGTAACTTCTTTCCACACAGAGGCTGCTTACAGAAAATGCACATGATCAAACAGTGGCCACACCCATGACATGGATTCACGTGGTGGTTGGCATACAGATGGGTGGAGGTTTTGTGATTCATTTTCACTGTACTTAACATCATGGCCTTTATTTACCAGGGTCAAAAGCCTCTTCATAGAAGAAAAATTGGGACTCTTATGTATCGCTGGATTTAATGACTCAGGATATTGGACCCCATCAGGAATACTTCAAGTGACATGGGGTCGGTTTGTGCAAACTACATGCCTGAAAGGACCACGAAGAGGAAGTAAACGCCGCTGCTCTCTAAGCTGTGATAACCTGAAAACTTTCGTAAATGAAATACCGCCAAAATTGTGTATCTTTATTTCATAGAATAGCAACGGAATCAGCATCATTTTCTTCCCACTAGTAGGTTTGTTTGCACAAAGAACAAACAACTCAAAAAGCCAGGGGGATAGAGCTCCACAGAGGGCACAGTTGTCACCTTGAACTGGAGTCGTCTTATGGGCCATCGTACTTACGCGTTGTCATTGAGACGGTGTAAACAAAAAATGTACATAAGTGTGTGACTCAATAAACTTGACAAATGTACAGGATCTGATGCACCAGTATAGCCATAAATATGACAGCTTTCCCCATTCGCTATAAAAATGACAGCCAGTTACATCAATAGCTGTCTTGAAGTAAAGTTCCGTATGAATTCGCACTGATAAAAACGCCTCAATCCAACTACACCCTAGTTTTCCATTTCCAGGGGAAAAATACTTCGTATATGATCACCTATTACAAGGATTTAGTGATTGCATTCTAAATGCCACCGCGTCATTCGGGCTTAAGAATAGGCCCAAGCCTTTGGCCTTTGTTGGAAATGTTTCCTCCTCCACGAAGCACGCCGATGATGCTTGGAAATTCGAAGTAATATGGTGGCAGTTTAGTGAAGACCTTTATGATCGGCCATGAAAGCATCTTTTGCCGAAGGAACAATTTATAGAAGATTCAAAAGGTCTTGCGTGTTTGAGTAGGACCCTGATCCCTATCTAAGCGCACGATTGACTGAACAGTTTTGTAATTACGTTACCTCTAGCATTTATTCACTAGATCATACCCTCGAATGAAAAGTCAAATTATGTCAAGCTAGAACAATAAAACGTCTTGACAGTGATGGCAAATACTATCCAGAGATTCCAGTAGTGAACGTGATGTTAAGGGCATCATGACTGACAGGCATAGAGATCACAGGTAGTCACATGTAGTCATAATAAAAGCAGTCGCAAGGCTGATGACGGTGCTATTGAATAGTACTTTACCAAATCTAAGAATTGGGCTCCAAAATTCTTTGATTGTGTAGTACTTTGTTCGTTTAACTTTTCGTTTTGGTCAAGTGGGTGCGGCAGTAGTACTTCCATCCAACGTCATGGCCTGCGGGTCAAGGACATATGTGATAACTCTCTAGACAGTTTCCCTTCCAACTCGGGCGAAACTTCGGATCCAATAGAATTGCCAAGAGGGGCGGTAACATGGTGGTCAAATGCCTTTACAGTTGCACGCAAATTCGATGAGTAGTGCGGTTGGTTCGTGGGTATTGGTCGTGTAGCACTAAATACGTTGTGATGCCCGACTAGGTAGGTTGACCAAGGGCGGCGATGGGGACGACGCTTGAAAGAGAGGGGAGCTAGGTAATACCTTGATTATTTGCTGAACTCCCATATAGCTTCGCGGACATTTGAGGTTCCATGATTGTGCTTCCGATGGACGGCACGGCCTCTGTACCATTCCAGTAGCCCTCAGCCCTTCTCTACGCTGGCGGTTCATTTTCTTACCTTTAATACTACGTCTTCTTCTGTCTTCAGGGGAAGTCTCGACGCGCTAAAATTGTAGATCGCTGCATTATCCCAGATTTTTTTACGGGTAACACTGCTACCACTTTAGGAACGTTCCTGTTTTAGCCACCACTTTACTTCGATGCTTTGATATTTACAAATGATGATGGGTAGAGAGCATAACCGTTGACCTAAGGTGGGATTTTGATGCAGTGTCGTAGAAAAGCTTAGGGCCGCTGCTTAGAAAGGGACAGAATAAGCAAATCAAAGTTTTAAGGAGTCCCAAAATTGCACTATTTTGAAATAAAACCTTTACTGAGAGAAATTAAACCAGAATTCTTATGCCAGTTAAATTTACCAATAATACCATAAAACCCTATTTTAGCTTCATAATTACATATAAAGAGGTGGATTCTGTTCATATTTTCATTGTATTTAGGTGAATTTCGACCACAAGCCGCAAACCTCGGGCTTGCATAAAGAAATCAGACCGCTTTTAGCCGCGTACCACACAAATGTACGCATCTGCGCTCTCAATCGGTGTCTGCGAGTTGATTTGTTGCCAGGGTGGTGCCCGGGTACCACAAAACAAGGCATGTGATAGATAAAGGAGCAACACACCTAACAAATGTTAATACATTGTCCCTCCGACCCCGTGGTCCCTTTGGCTCCCTCAAGAGGCTTTCCATTGGTGGCTGTGTTGCTTCCACACAGCATGATATCATCGTATGGCGATAGCCATATTTTTTCTCATTTTGCTTTGCATCTAAGCTCTTCTACTATTATTAAAATTTCAGTCTTATCATTAACGCTTATAACTTCTCCCATAAAATTGCTGCCTCTTTCTACACCGAAATACACTTTAAAAGCGGTAGTTATGAATCCCATCAAGCTTCCAGTGACGTTCACTTGAATGCGGAGGGATACGCGGCCAAACGGGGGAACGCGTAGGCAATTCGTGGTTTCTCGGTTACTACAAAGCAGAGACCGAATTACGATAATCAAGCCGTACGCATGTAAAAGGGGATGAGCGATCCTTTTCCCTAAGTGTTCACAACCTTGTTGGCAATAAAGTGGGAATCTTGATCCAAAACATTGCACTCGCGGAAAGAAGCAGCTATAAGATCGAATAAAGCGGCAGACTGGGTGATGGCAGATGCTGAGAGAAGGCTAGTATGGAATTATGTATTATGGGAATGACCGATTCATGAAAAAACACCAGACAGAAGACAGTGAGTGTCGACCACCACGAAAGTTAAGCCCAGTCCACCACCCACGAACCCCAAAACTAGTCTCAGGTGGGTCCCTTCTAACCTTTTTGTTCACTCCGTACCTGTGTACCGGTTCCAGGGGCTTCAACTGGATGACGCCGTTAAGTACTGACGAAGTACTCATGCATTCCCGACTATTTGATTCGACTTAACTGAACTGAGAGGCCAGTTTGACGTGGTGAATCCTGACAAGTCGACAAATCTGGTGCCCAAACCCACAATTAGTACGGTTAACCACTGGTGCCAGGTCGACAAGGCCAAACAAAATTGGCTAGTCCGAAAGTCAACCAAATCGGGGAACGCACGCACAACTGCCCGGGGCACCAGCGAGTCGTGAACCTTATCCAATTCCAAAACCGCGTTTTTAAAAATGCATGCCCAGAGTCTAACAGGGGAGATCTTCGCCAACCAGCAGCTAACGATGGCTACCTGACTGAGATTGTTAGTGCCTGTAGCCCCAACATTGACCAAACCTAGGCGTTGACAATTGAGCCCCTCCAAAGAATCGAGTCATTTAGAGAAGAGACGACATGTTTTAGAAACTGAAATAGTTGTAAGCGACAAGATGAAATAGTACTGTCGATTGACTGTAGGTTTATTATGAAATAAGATCCAACTTGACGTTACAGCGATGTTAGTCACCTCGAAGAGACCTTTCAAAATTGACACTACTCCCGGCGTTCATTGCGTTCCTTAAATGGGAAAAAATAGCAGACTGGACACGTTCACTACACCAAATACTACAAATATATAAATTGTCAAGTTACAACTTGGAAACTAGCGTGACTCGTGACACAAGCAAAGGCATTGAACATCGGGTTCATCACGTCACCGAAATTCCAGTATTGCCGAAAAGAATAGGACAAGTAAAAAGATAGTGAGAGAACCAGGAAATAACACTCAAAAATAACCATAACGACAGATGGCATTGTAAAAAACGACTGCAAGGACTACAGCACAATTAACCGACAAGACAATAAGGACTCAGTATGAAAAAATGGGAAAGCGTAAAACCAACCCTTCTTGAGTTGAGAATAATCAAAAGATGACGGAACAGTTCAATGACGTCGACGAAAAGATCCAGTGCGTGTCTAAAATAAAACAAATAGTAGCTTCTGAGGTGACGTAAAGTAAATTGGAAGTAAAAAGGCCAATCATTAAGCACCCATTTTGTGGAAAATTTAACTGGGATAAGTAGCCATTTAAGCCTAAAATAGCTTCAAGGAATATTCTGTTCTGCTGGACTTGACTTTCTTAGATACATGCTTAGATTTAGAACCCAAAACTTTTAAAATTGCCTGAGATGGGAACCACAAATATGAATACCAAGCGCCACAAAAGAAGGCGCACCTTATAAAGTCCACATCACCCAACTGACGCTTGAAGACAATGAGTTGAGTATCGTAGACGACAAAACCGCAGAAAATGAGGAACGAGAGGTAAAGTTCCACTTGGAAAAGCGCTGGCGACCGCAAGAAGAGGTTCATTAGTCCGAAGGTGGAGATGACGCCAATAGCCGTGCCAAGAACGCCTAGCAGACAAATGTCAGAAGTGATAACGTCAGGCAAGGGGTTGCGGCAACCTAACCTCTGGCCTGCCAGCTTACCTATCTAAACAGCCGAGGTACATTCAAGAGTACGTGAACTACCGGCTTAAGTCCCAAAGTTAAAAAACCCGCCCAGAAAATTTACTACGTGACTAACACCAAATGAGTTCCAAAATAGTACTTCAAGAAATAACAAATCAAAGGCTCACCCCCAAGGTAGACGAAAAGACGTTTACGAGTGAGTAATGACGCGAAGGTAAAGGCGACGAAAATAATCGCCGTTCCCAAAAGTGCAGCGGACAAAGAGGATGGGTTAACTTGAAGGGCGAAATTCACTAGTGGTCCAAGTCCGATGCCTACGAGGAAGAATTCCCAAAGCTGAAGATCCAGCAATAATGATAACCAATACTATACCTAACCAATGTTAAAAGGAATGAAGTCTACATCACAGAATGGCCTCAAATGCGTAAACCAAAACTAACGCACCCGTCGAAAGAGTGAACACCAAAAAGGCGGTCATTCTGCTCCAAAGTTGAGATTCGGTATGTTGCGTGAACATAATGTAACAACAAGAAACGATGGAGGCTATTGCGGAGAGGATCAAGACACTAAAAGCCCAATGCTGTAAAAGAGAAAAAGCAGAGAATAACTTCCTTGCCCCATTTAAGGCAAAACATAAGTTGTTCTCACATCCTCACATTTAAAACTAGTAATAAAACTACCTGGATCAATGAAGAAGTTGTAAAAACAAACGACCCGATTGATGCCGCAATAAGCCCCACCGAGAGAAGACTGTAGACATTTTTGAGGTGAATCTGAACAGGTTTTTCTCTAAAATATTTCAAGAATGTATCGTTTGGGGCAAGCAACGATTTGAGACCAGAAGAAACGACTACAGGCATAGGTGTAAGGCTCCAAAGACTCAAAAAAACGTAAAAGTACGTGAACAAGGCACGCTGTAAAATAGCGAAAACAAAATCACAATGGACTACAAACGCCACATATACAGTCCAGATTAGGACATATTCCGATTCACTCGAATAAAACCACTTACATATCCCGAAATGTGAACAACACATTTGGGTCGAAGTAACGAGAAGTCCCCGTACGTGACATCACGAAACCGTACACCTGTGGTATCTGACGTATAACGAAACCAATTCCAGAACAAGTGATCCATTAAAACAATCTAAAAAGACGCCATAGCTTTCATGCGATGTCTTTTAGTGCGCTCCTATACCCTTAGCCAAAATTTTTAAAATTTAAAACGCTGTAAAACTGCATTAGCACTTTTATTACGTACCCAATTGGACGGGATATAGTATATGATTCACAAGTTTAACGAATTTGCCCTTTTTAATAGCCTCAGCTTTCGCGTTTATTGCTAAGTCGTGTACTTTTTGGGTCTCAACACGGCTCGTTGAATTACATAATTAGAAGTAAAAGGCACAGGCTAAACAAGAATCTCGAAAATGTTTCTATTTGCAAGACTCACACTTTGGTGGTCGAATTCTTTATAAACGTGTGCCGCACGTGAAAATACATATCCAGTTTATGGAGCTGATCATCCATCCGAAAGCAAGAATGGTCTTTACCAAATGACTAACTTTGTGCTATTCCTACCCTTTATCTAATAATATTGTTTTCATACTGATTTTTCTGAGCTATCTAAAAGATATTAGTCTCCATTACTTGCTGATCTTGATATTATCCCTCTTGTTCCTACCCTTTCCGTGTAGCGGTTTTATCAAGTGCTGTGACAGTTGGTTCTCTGCCGCTCCTTTCACCCCTTACGATGAGGTCAGGTTTGTAGTCGCATGTTTTGGTTCTTACTTTATCATCTCTTCGGTGGCCTTAGATTTAGCTGTCAATCGTTCTCGGTTTGCTACCTTTTTTTCTTAACTGCTTTTTTGCTCCATACCCGGTGATGCATTGCTACATTAATGATGCTGCTCCACGTCTCATTAGTGGTTGAGGTTCTGCTGTCGATTCCCTCTCCCCATCATGGGCAGTAACTTTTGTTACGATCTTGAATTCCCTTATCAATGTAGCGTGTATTTTTGAGGATTTTCGCATCTCAACCCACTTACGCGAGATCAAATGTAATATCCTCTTTGGGTATTGTATTCAAAACAGGCTCTGCTGGTGTGGCTTTTGCGTAGCCTCTTTTAGACCTACAACAAGTAGTAGACACCCTTAACAACTTTTACTTATTTTTTTCCCGCACACGATGGTTTTACAAATAGGGGTTTAGATATTCAATTTACTGAAGATTTGTGTTTTTATGGGTGACAAGAGTTCACACTCAAATAAAAAGCGTAAAAAGCTGTGGGCTCTCCTCAATGAAGCCTTATAAGGTAGGGGAGTAATCGTGTGGTTTAACTTACTCATTTGAATTGTTATAGTGCTCCATTCTTTTTTTCACATCGTCAAAATGGCTGATCTCGTTTCCCCATTCTCCCCTAGTTTGCATACCCAGTCACTCCCCCACTACTCAGATTTTGATGGAACTTCCGAGAGTGAGACTTCCGAACTTTCCATTGTTCTGCCCTATGGATCGCGTTTTCGAGGCAAGAAACACTCCCAACCCTCGGAGGGCCAAATTCGTCAGAAAAAGGGCGCCAGAGCCATTCGACGCTATGAAAATGGTAGTCATCTCCTTCATCTCAGTCTTGTTTTTTGGGAGTCTTGCAGTTCCCACTTTCTTTTCCAGATGCCTACCTGAGCACGCTTGCTATGATCACGGAAGCTACTGGCGAGGACGAGATCGATAACTACTGGATTGATAGGACCACTAAGGATACCGGATTTAAGTGCCTCTTTGTGGATGCCGAGCAAGTCATTTTCCCTATGCTTAAACTATCCTACATACAAGTGAGCACCTCGTTCGACACTAGTGGCAGAATCAGCCTGAGTTTTAGCGTCGAAAATCCGGGAAAAATGTATGAATCGTGGGTGTTATTTGCTAAAAATTGACTGAAAGGCTACAAGCATATGTATTGCGTTCAAAGTTGTGTAAATTGTGTTTTTACGTAATATTGTTGTAATTAAGTCGAACACCAATAACAACTGCTGTTGACCTCAGATTATTTTCTATACAACGCAAACACTACTTGTGCTTTTGCTTCCTCCGGACGGATGAATCCTTTGATACACTTTCTTTAAATCTTTCGCTGTAATTATCCAATCACGAAGAAGCATTACTAGTTCTGTCAAGCACAGTGCTCAATAGATGGATAATTCTACAGAAATATAAATGTGGAAACCATCTTTCTGGACCTTCCCCGTCTAGCATTCGCGAGATATGGGATGCATTTATCTCTCTCTCGGAGACAAAACAGATCGAGCTCCTTGGCAATCTTTCCTCTCAGTCAGCTTTTGGCGATGATGATGACGTTGACATGGGTGATGATGTGGTTACACATCCTCCGCCTAAGAATTACAATAACGCTAGTGGGAACAACAACAGCAGCCGCCAACGGCGTGGAAACAAGGGCCGCCCGCGTCGACGACCTGTTGTGCATCTAGAACCCATTTTTGAGGACCCTTTGGAGACGTCTGTTGAAGCTTTTGGTAAGGTTCTTATTTTGGATCCTCTTGAAAAACAAAAGAGTGGTCCGACTTTAACAATGTAGTGGCACCCGCATCTTCCCTGAAGCCGTAACGAAGTTCCCAAGTGTGGAGGTAAATTGATTACTGGAGTACAGAAGGGCCAAATGGTCATATTACAATGGGTATGTGCACTGGTTGCTGCTGCAAACTACTACGAACGGCACCGTCAACGCGGCATCCTCCTTTACACACGTGAAATTAAAGCCACCATTTGTCCTCAATGCTTTTACTAAATCAGGTCATGTCGGGCCTTAACGCAACTGTTTTCTCATTACGAAAGTAGTTCAAAACGATTTTTGCGCTTCAGAGGCATTGCGCGACATGGTGGACATCGTGACACCATTTGACGGCAGTCGAATCCCTTCGGTAACAGACCTTCCCTTCCCTCAAGACGTCGGTTCTGACGATGCGGCCTTTCCTACACCGGGAAGTATCTCACCGAAACTGCTCGAGTTCATTCGTAACGTGGTGAAACAGCAGCAGCGGCAGCAGGATTCTGGAGGCAGCGATGCCGGTACAAAAGGCGGGCGCAAGAAACAGCGACGCTTCTGCGTACAGGATCTCTGTCTTATCCATCGCGTAGAGGCGGAGTTACGGGCGGCCTTTGGAGCGGTCGAGTCGTCCGTCCGCGTGTGGACACCCTCCACGAGTCTCCTCAGGTCTTCAATTCCGTCTAACGAAAATCAGCAGGGAAGGATGTGGGTTCGTGGTAGTCCGTTGGCTCTCAGTGGCTTCCAGAGGATGCTCGTTCATGCCACAGCCAACTACCTAGGCCTCCATTCATTTAGTGAGTGATGAGATGGGGGTTATTCAGCCTACTGTTGGTGTTGCTGTGGGAAACCTATCAAAGTGATGGTGCAATGGGGGTTGCATCACTTTCAAACATAATTTCTAGATTCGGGCAATGGAATAGTCTGGCAACTTAGTGAATTGTAACATTGAGTCATTTGCACTACACATCAAAGGCTTATTGGAAAGATGGTCTTAAAACTTACTTTTTCTGTAGTTGCGATGCGAGTGGGAAACGCGTAAATTCATCATCTTGTTACTTGCGATGAATTATGGGGTGGGTTCTTTTTCGACTACTGTACAGTGTTCCATAATAAATGGAGTGGGTAATCCCAGTCTGGAACCGAACATCCATCATGAGGAACTTATGTTCTCAAGTCTGGTTGGGGTCATCTACAGCGACTTTGCCGGATCTTACTAATGAGTGGCAGTAGGTAGACGTTGGCTGTGTTAGATTTGAGAAAATTGTGATTGTGGTAAGAGCAGTAGTTTTTTCCTGATAAGAATGAACAGAAGCGCTGTCAAAACTATCAAAAGTAGATTGTAAAACTACTGATCACAATTTTCAACGTACCTCACACCAGGTAGTTCTTAGCAATTCCAATCATTGGATTATTTTGTAACTTGTAAACTTGACTGTGTTTGGATTGAATTCTAGACAAAAACAGCAGGATCCAATACGCATTCACACAGGAATAAATTCCTGAGTAAGCAAAACACCGCAACCGCTGCGTATTAGTCGGAAATGCGGCCCTCAGAATGACCAAGGCTTAATACGAATTTTCGTAATACCTTTTTGAGCTCGATTCTCGTAAGGTTTTGTCTTTCGATTGACTTGGAGTCCTTCCACCACCTCTCTACTTTATTCATAAACTGTAATCTTTATCTTCATGACCAAGTGCCATCATCCGCAGGTTATAACCCTCCCCTGATTCCTACCTAGGGTTTGACTGAAACGGTCATAGCATCTTTTTGTTTCCTAAAAGGCTTTTTTGAGGGAATTATGTATTTGATTTGAGCGATTTCTCAGATTCTCTTGAAGGAATATTCAGTCCTGTTTTCGTTATAGAATATCCGCGTTGATGCGTTTTGAACTGGTTTGGTTCTTAACGTATATTGTATTGTAGAGAAGGCTAATAACTGCCGCTTCCAAGGTGGAATTCCTTATGGCATTGTTACCATCATGCCTTCCTTTGTGATTTTATGAGACATTTTCTAACTTCATTTTAATTGGTAGATTACGGTACGTTGTGGGTTGCGTCGGATCATTCTAACCACGAAGTCAATAAAAGGATTTGCCGAGTAACGCACATGAAGTTAAGGTAGACAATTCAAATGCCAATCTAGAGGTGATTTTGACTGTTCTGAGGGCCAGTCGTGAAACATTTACATGTACACATTCAGTAACAAGGCAGTTGAGTCTTTCGCAGGGTCCACCAACTTCTACATTGGTAGATCCAAATCAAGTGCGGCTGGTGATTTCATCCCAAAATATCCTATTCGAACTATCATGAGGTATTTCTCTAAGCCTCGTTAGATGTTGTCTGCTCCGCAGACAAATGATCTTGCTTATTGGACGCAATTTAACTTTTGCTTGAAGAGCTAAGATTGGTGGACTGAAGAAAGTTGAATAAATGTTTCAGTTTTTGAACCGAGGCATGACTTGGAAGCACCACTTACACCAAATCAAACCGTTTGCTATCCGCCTACCTCCCGCCGATTAATAATACAGCGGGACTGCAGCATTCTCATTGTGGTATACCATCTGCGTGAACGAAAGCGTTTCACGCTTTTGGTAGTCACAAAATTAACGTTTACTTCCAGTAATCATTATCGACTTTAATATATTTTCCGGTAGCACACCCATGGCTACGCAAAATATGCTTTTTCGGGAGGCGTTTAGTTGCGCGTATTGAGCCACATGAATTGATGAGATAGCTCATACCTTACCAACCGTTTCATGCTGTGATGGGTGGTCACGAGGATGATCAGATGACAGGAAGTTACTTGACTGAGAGATTGAACTGGACTTTGTGAGCAGTCGATGGGTGGTGTTGTTGCTGATTTGTTTTGCCTTTTTTGTTCCTCTGGATAGGCTTACCAACTCATCCGCTGCATAAGGTCAGTTGGATTGATTAATTGCTGGAATCTATGATACCCTTTCCAATTCGAGGATTCTTGTCGTTAGAATAGGAGAAATTACTGTCAAAATCGGCCGCTATCTTTTGATTCCATTATTGTAAACACGGGAGATTACTTGTGTTTACAGGTGGCGAAGAGCTCATGGGGGTGCATTCAATTTAAGACTGAGGATCAAGTCCCTTTGATAAGATTGTAATATCTCAGTTTAGGAACCACTAGTGCAATGAAAGTTCTGTGGTTGATAATCATTGCCTGAGTTGGTGCTGATTAATCTGTATACGCCAAAGGGCTTTAGTTCCGTACTTTTCAATTAAGAGGCTTCCTCATACATTTATTCACTCATCTACATTGGATATGATTTCTACTATATTCCACCCGCTGTTTCCTCGCGCAGGCACTTGGGACGGGCCGCTGTCAGAGAGGAAGCTGTGGGTGGACAGGAGAAGCGCTGAGTTTCGTCCGCCGACGCAACCTCTTTTGGCTGTAATCAGAAGTACCATAGAGGGCATGTTGTCTGAGAAGTCCTGAGGTTCCACCTGGACGCATGCACACTCTCGTGTTCATGTCGACACTAAGGCGCCACCTCTTTTCTCTCATCAGTTTCCTAATCATTACTTTGTCCACTTACCGGTTTGCACATACTGTGTTTTGTACATGTGAAATCGCACCAAGGGCAACCAATGTACCGATTCGTTCACTCTGTAGGCGATTTCCATTAACATTGTAGCCTACTTATTAATGCGAGTAGTATTTAACGTTACCCATTAAAAGCGCACTTTTCCTTCGTTTGCGTATTATCAGTGCCTCTTAAATGCGGCAAAGTTGTTAGTGGCAATGCAGGAAGTCTAGTCGCCTTACCTATAATGTTCGTGTTATTATTATCAAAATTTGGTTTTAAGATAGGCTTAAAAATATATAAGTGATTTTGGTAGGTGAGGTAATTACACTACTGAAGATTTTTTTGTATTTGAGATCTATAATTTGCGACCATTTGTTTATTCTTTGAGTAAACTGCAAGTTCGTTAGTAATATGGTCAATTTACCAAACCATATAAATGTGACTTACAATTCGTGATCGCACTGAATGTACCTCATTAATTCACTTTAACTTTGGCAACAGTCATAATAAACGCTCTAAGACTGGGAAGGATTTTTCTTCTTGAAATTTCGAAACAAGTGTATCTGAGTCCCAAACCTTTTCACTGTCGGCGTAGCTATATCTAGGCACAATTTAAGATCATTATCTTCCAATGCCTTTGTTAAAGTAGGTCTGATTCTATTCTGAAGACGAAGTACGGGGCGAGAGTGCCGGCTTTACTCATGGTAATCACCAAAACACCTGGTCGAATTCAATCGTCATCTGTCGATAAACATGATTTCTAGTTCATGCCATGAATGCAACCGATGGTGAGTTTGAATAATTGGGGAAATCAATCGGCCTCAAGGCATATAATGCCCTTTCCGGTGCAGTAATTCCCGGGACGATTATTTCCCATTCCACACTTCTGTGGCGGGGAAAATCTATGTTGCTGTTAAAACTGTATCACCTATGCTTGGAACTCTTGTCCTAAGTCACGTTGGTTTTGCTGAGCTCAAACTGCTTTCCACCAGTAGGAGGCTGTTGTTTTCACGTTTATTCCCCTCTTTAGGAACGTGTCAGTGTAGTAAGTTCGAATGTAGGTGGGGAGGTGCCGGTGTAAAGTGAGATTTTAGTGCCAGGGGCTATCTAAAGGAGGTGGGTTGTTTCATGCGACGAGGGAATGGCGTGTCTCTTTATATTTTTTAGTACGGGTCGTTAAAATATGCTAGATTCGATTTGGGATGTCAAATGTATGCATTAATGGGGTTCGTCTTGCGGGTAAACCACCAAATAACTCCAGAAAGACGAGGGGTTTTCGAAAACCACAAGTGATATAATCCCGTATCGTTCTGAGCCTATGGCGCACTCATTCGTTGGAATGTGATATAATTGTCTAAGACTATGTGAATAACTTGGAGTTATTTACCAGTACAGAAATATTTTGATGATAACTGAGGTGAGGAATCTCATTGAATGATCGACTAAGACCAACAAACTTCGATTAGGGAAGGCGTATTTCTTTATTATCTCGTCGAACCCTGTATTTATTCAAGCAGTGCGATCGGTTACCGCCTTTTTAAAAAACCGTGAAACATATGAGCAACCTTCCACTACCAGATTTGCGTCCGATTTCAAGTGCCTCATTATTTCACCTTCCCTCATGACTTGTAACGTTTACAAATTTGGCCAGTCAAAAACTGCATTTTATCCAAGTTACAAAGGATGATTTTATAAATTTATCTGGAAGGACAGGCAGTTGCGATTTGGTACAATATGTATTTGTGCAGCTGTTGAACACATTGAACCTTAAACATGAAATGAGTGTTAATGAAGCAACTTAATGAAAAAAAAAGCACTGAAACAAACCAATAAAAGGTGACGCCTGGAGGTGCTGAAATTATGACTCGGGTCACACTGCACAGGGACTTGGGAATCTCGTCATAAATGTCCAATTCTCAGCTAATGCAAAACGAAGAATCTGGATAAAGTTATGGATGTATTCTCTCCTGGGAGAGCTAGCAGTCCAAAACCATAGTTCGTACAGTTGGAGGTAATCTATGTATTGGGGGAGGGGGGATTTTATCCAAATCCAGGTATATGGTGGCAACAGCAATTAGTACTTAGCTTCAGGGAGCTTAAGGTGCTATTGGTGGTATGATTTGGTGAATATGCTACACAGGATCACGTATCACGAAATCCATTTGGATGTTAGGTATTACAAGATGTTCCAGTGATTAACTCCTCAATACCTTCCTTTTTATCCCAATATTACCTGAGTAGAAGCAGAACATGCTAGGAGGGTACTACTACTTGTCCCAAAATAACGCCATTGTGAATGCCGGTGAACTAGCGGTTACCTTTTCTACTATTTAATTGTGGAGCAAAGCTGATTTGGACGATTCTGCTCACACTACCTCAGGGTACTTCTTCAATGTTCTAGTATGAATGCAGATCCTCCGTTTTGCATCTTGTAATAACAGGGATGCCAATTTGGCCTTTTGAAACTGTTGTCCTCCCCTTACCTTTCATTGGTGCAAATTTAGTACTGGTGGGGTGGAGTACTTTCCAACGTGATATTGTTGCCACTCTCAACTTTCTAGGAATATACTCACTTTTGATAGTTTTACAAGAGGTTGGAATTGGGAGCGGTTATAACGGTCCCTTTTTGAAGAAACATGAAGGGTTTCTATTTTTAGAATCAGTTTTGTTTCCAGAAAGAAAGTACAGCCTTGATCAAGGAATCTAAAAGAGGACGGTGATAGAGAAGGCAGTGTTCTACTGCGGGTACTCTATTTAAACGTGCAAGTAATGCGGAAGTTGGTATATCAAGTAGGCAAAGAAATTGTGAACTGGCAGATGGATATAAAGCTTCCTGGGTTTCTTCTTAAAGCGCAACTGTGCCTATTGCTTCAGAGATCTAGCTTGATCTTGACCACAGGCCTTAACAATGCCGCACGGTAACTAAAGTCGTGGGTACTGAGGATATGATTTCTTTTGCACTTGAGAAGGCTTACAAATGAGTTGGCACAGTCAAAAGCCCAGAGGAATAATTTCTTGATAGGATTTAATGAAACTTTGCAAGCAAATAATTTTACAGTTGAAATAGGGCAGAAATGAATCATAGGGGCCCAAATGAAATTATTAAGAGTTGGATCATTCAGAATGCCAAAATCATGGGTTATGTTCACTCCCGTGTATTCTACTTACCTGTAAAAAAAGAGAAACGTCAAGGAAAGCTTCAAAGATGCAGGGTTTTACCTTGATAAAAGTGTTTGTGCAATCATTAAAAGAAGCGGAATCAACTTAAAGGAAGGCCATTCACCAGTAATGATTGCTAGGAACGTCAACGACATCCGTACTACGTACAGGCGAAACCTATAATCAGATTATCTCAACAAGTGAAATAAAAATTTTCTGCACCTTTGCTAATACATTTACAGAACCATTGTAATACTTTGTTTAAATAATCGTTTTGGTTACGTGAGCACCCAAGGCTCCGCCATTGCCCCTCTACTGGGTGGAGTGGCCTTCGGGTCAAAAGTGGCTTCCCCCCTCCAACCCTTCTGTACGTCAATAATACATATTCTGCCTTATTATAAATCACTCCTCTCATTTTCAGGAAAGGCTCGGCGCGTTCCATCGCATTTTATGGTGTTCTTTTAAGGCATAATTTGAAAAGCTTTAGATATGCTCGTGTCCCACCGAAGAAGTGGCAATGTAAAGTGGACGTATCATACGGACCCAAAAAGGGTGCTTCTTACAGCAGAAGACATTTGAAGTACTCAGTATTGATACTAGTTGTTGTTAAGTTTTTGCGCTAGAAATTCTAACGGGGGAATAACAAGAAGACTTACAGCAGGGCTACAATAGGCCATTCCAAACAAACTTTACTTCCTAATAATACGGAAATGCAAAAAAAAAAAAAACAGAAATTTGGCTGTACACGATTTGAAGACAGAAGATAACTAGTAGAACATCCGGGAAGTGCAGATAACAGATGCGCAAACATATTTTTCAAGAGATGCACCGATTCTTCGCACATTTAACATGCGTACAACGAAGTGGCGCCTTTACATACATTTGCCAACAGGATTGACCAGACAGGCGAAGAAATTTTATCAAATCAGGAGAAGAGCGTTGTTGTCTTAAGTTACTTAGCTTCTTTACGGAAAGTGACCTTAACCAAGTGGAAATATAAATTGATTCCTCCAAACGACAATCATTCATCCAATGGATCTGTTTAAAACGAAAAGTGGGCTATAAATTTCATGAAAAAGATGAAAATAAAAATGAAAAAGTGCCCAAATTTAGCCTACTAAGACTGGCTTAAAAGGCTGCTGAGTTCCAATCACTAGGCTATCTAAGGAACAATAGTGTTGCAAATAAATAAGGAAGATTATTTTAGAGTCGCATGACTTTTCTAAAGACAAAAGAAGACATAACAATAGGAAAGCGTGCCAGAGACGCAAAGAGAGGCTAGGGAGTAGGTGATATGGCTCAGAGAGCACGCTGTTTAGTGGAAGTACAATCCCGAAGCCTTCGGTAATCGAGAAGTTAGACTAATAATCAAAGTATCACATAGCCACTCCTCTCCCCTAAAGCGTCGTGCACGGATCTTCCTTTGGTCAATTTCCTGCGTCGGTGCTGCAAGGGAAGCATCCTAGAACCGACCTCCTTGCCACATTGTTTCCACTTCAATGCTGTCCAGCCATGTCTATATGTGTTCTATCTAGTTAGTAAATGTAAAGGAGGCATTGCGTCTTCACTTCATTGACATCTTCATGTCTACACAGTGGACAACTCGGTAACGAGCTAGCCAGGCGGTCAACGGTCACTACTAGTGTCGGTTCAGTATTTGAAAGCATTTCTGCAGAACTCAAAGAACAAGTCCTTCTTCTGTCACGTCAAGATTTAGTAATCAATAATAGGAATCGAGGTGGCTGTTCTT